TGTTTACTGGCCGGATGCCCTTCCTACTGCCAGTGCGGAGTTATATTCAGCAGATATATTCTCATCGTGCCAAGAGAAATATCTGCCTCTACCTAGGATCGAACTCACAGCCTCCCAATTGTGAGGCTAAAGTTCCACCTCTAGGCCAACGCACCACTCAAGTGTGAAAAACAGTCATTAAAGTCACTTTTTTTTAGTGCCACTGTAAGTTCGGTCGCTAAATGAAAAGTTGCATTACTTGTACAAATTTGCTGTTTTTAGTTGATCCTGATAAAAGGTGGACTTGTGTTTTTTTTTTTTTCCTGGAATAATGAAGCTATACCGTTTCAGCACAACTCGAGAGCCAGAATCAAGAAAATTTTCAGCTTCAGAACATGTAGTAAATTAATTTCCTTACACTTAATTAATTACACTGATTGCACTGCGATAATACGGGTTGCTTTGAAATTGCAAGGTGGGCCACAAATAAATTAGGTAATAGTAAAAAAAAATCACTTGTAATTAAATACACTTAACGATTGCATTGTTATTAACCCAGAGGTTAATTATGTTAACCTTACCTTAGTTATCAGTAGGTGTTTTGTGTTGTAACATTTTGGGTAATCTTGGTGTCTTTAGTTAGTTTGTGCTTCAATGTATGGCACCAATTCAGAAAAAACAATTCACTTTATTAACTAAGTCAGGTGCATTGAATTTACACAGCTAATAAAAAATGTTTAGTAACTGTCCAGCTGATAACAAGAAATGAGGAGACTGTAGATGATCAGGTTGTTTACGAAGGTGGAGTCAAATGCATCATCAGTTTGGAATTCACTACGCTGAGGTAAGAAACAAAAGTCTTTCCACCCACCCCCCCCAAAAAAATCCATTAACTCTTACCTGGCACCAATTAGCCTTGACTGTTGGTAGATCAGATTCTTATATAAGTAGCATGGAATAAACTCGTAGTGTTTTTGCGCTCTATCCCGGCTTCTGATTTCTTGTGCCTGACAGACACCTGCCATCTTACCCCAACGCAAACTTTGCATTTGCTTCCTGATGTTGGATGTGCAAATGTTAAGAAGTAAGGCACTGGTTTTTTAATTTTATTTCTGATGCCATTATATATATATGCCACCTGACCAATTAGGTGTTTTGTCCCTGTGGATGCAAATGAAAGCAGTTCCTCAAGATTTCAAAAGCCACAAGATTTTAGGGATTACTTATTTAGTCCCTTTCTAAAGGCCACCCACCACTCTGGAGAGGTTAAAATAAATAATATGGTCAGTTAAGAACACAGGTAGTCCTCCACTTATGACTGGCTGCTTTGTGAATGTTTGCAATTACAATCTCTCTGGAAAGAGAGACTTATGACCTAATTCCAAAGTTCCAATAGCAGTTAGCAGTTAGACTTATATACCGCTTCATAGGGCTTTCAGCCCTCTCTAAGCGGTT